ACCTCAGCTCGCCCCTCGTGGGTTGTGTCTTGACCTCAGCTCGCCCCTCGTGGGTTGTGTCTTCCCTCTTCGGTTGGCAGGGAATCCAGAACGTCGTCTTACGTGCACGGTAACGTTCCATGCTTTACACCCTGGAACTCATCACCGTTGTAATAATTTTATTATTCCTATAACACATTTATTATCTGAGTTCTCCATTCTGTTGAAAAGTGCCCTCGGTGCCTAGCCCAGAACTCAGCAAATATTTGAATGAATGACTTGCTGTTCTTCGGAGTGCGGATGACCCTGCGCCAGGCTAGACTTCCTGGGAGCCTTAAGCAGCCGCAGAGCTTCCCCAGGCTCCCTGGCCTCAGACTCTCAGCCTCAGACCTGAATCGGCATCTCACCAGCCTGCGCACAATGCCAGGCAGCTGCGCCTGGTTGATTCAGCCTCACGGTGACCTGGTGACTGATGCTCGACTGTGGATGTTCATTTCACAGGAGCGCTTGGAAAAGGCCCATCTGCTTGCACTCATCGGGGACCAACTCATCCAAAGCCATCACCCCGCAGTGGACACCATCAGACCCAAGTGTGTGGAGCTCAGACACCTCTGTGATGACTTCATCAATGAAAACAAGAAAAGGAACGACATCTTAAGGAAGTCTTTGGAACTGCATAGACAGCTGGACAAGGTGAGCAGAGCAAGGCCGTGAACATGGCACCTGCAGGATTTTGTGTAAAATGGTCTGAATCATCCTTGCCCCTCCCTGTCCCGTATAACTGCTGAGAGATGAAGAACTTCCTGTGCAGAAGTGCTCAGAAAGCATTCAGAACTGGGCAGTTCTTGGTAGGAGAGGTATTGAAGGTGGAAAGTGCCCCAGCCATCCCACCACATCCCGCTAGAATGAACGAAAGTCCATTTCCCACTCCGTGGGTCCAGGCCTAACGAGCGTGTTTGGCCTGACCTTATGGGGTATTTCTTGATTCCTCTTCAGGAGTACTGGGAATCAAGCAGTACATTTGCAAAGTGCTTCCCTGATATAAGGAACCCTCGTGGCACAGTGGTTAAGTGCTCGGCTGCTAACCAAAAGGTCGGTGGTTCAAGCCCACCAGCCACTCCACGGGAGAAAGATGTGGCAGTCTGCTTCCATAAAGATTACAGCCTTGGGAACCCTATGGCGCAGTTCTGCTCCGTCCTACAGGGTTTCTATGAATCAGAATCGACCCAGCGGCAGTGGGTTTGGTTTTTGGTTTCCCTCATAAAAAGGCAACAGATTGTGAATCCTTTTGGAGAAGCTTAAGTAATAATGACACTTATTACTTGAGCATTTATTTATTGAGCAGCTGCTCTGTCCCTACCAGGAGCATAATTATGTCATCCATTTCACCCTCAGAGTACCTGGGTGGTACAAACAGTTAGTGCACTTGGCTGCTAACAAAAAGGTTGGAGGTTCCAGTTCACCCAGAGGTGCCTTGGAAGAAAGGCCTGGTGATCTACTTCGAAAAAATCAGCCTTTGAAGACCCCATGGAGCACAGTTCTACTCTGACACACGTGGGGCCACCTTAAGTTGGAATCAACTCAGTGGCAACTGGTTTTTGTTTTTTTACGTAACCCTCATGACAACTTCTGAGGAAGGTATTAATTGGCCTCATTTTACAGAGGAGGAAGAGTCTAATGTTCAGAGTGGTTAAGTCAAGGGTTCTCAAAATGTAGGATGAGAATCACCTGATGAGCTTATTGTAACTGCAAATTCCCTGCTGTTCACTCTGGAGATTCCCATTCCGTGAGTCTGGGATGATGCCCAGGAATCGATATTTTGGTCAAGTGCCCAGATGCAGGTGGACGGAAACCACCCTGAGAAACCGGGATAAGTGACTGCCCCAGACCACGTGGGGCAAGTGGGGGAAACCAGACTGGAAGTCAGGACCGGGAGATTCCAAAACCCAGGCTTCTTAGGCTCAACAGCACTGTCTCCACAAGGAGGCGCGTGTGTAGACCCTGGCGCCCTTCAGCGGCGATCTCTGGGGCGAGTTCCCAAGCGGCGGGAGCAGCAACTCCCTGTCAGCTGTTCCCAGGCAGCACAAGGCTCATGGCCATGAGTCAGCGTGCTTCACCCCCGCAGCTCTTCCTCTCCCATGTGCCTGGGGGCACCTGTCTAGTCTGCTTACATCACCCCACTGCCAGAGGGGCTTTCATGTCAGTGAAATCCAGCTGTTCCAGAAGCCAGTGGCTCAGAGGGGGTTGGCACACTCCCTGCCTCGTCTGCTGAGCTCACGGAATAATCAGCTGCTGTTTTCCTTACCTAGTTTCTACTCCAGAGACGATAACTTAGGGCTCGCCCCGGCGGGGTGGGGCTACAAACATTGCAAACTGAAAAAGTTGGAGGTTTGAGTCCACCCAGAGGCACCTGGGAAGAAAGACCTGCCGATCTTCTTCCAAAAGATCAGCCATTAAGAGCCCGATGGAGCACAGCTCTACTCTGACACGCATGGAGTCTCCATGAGTCAGAGTTGACAGCATCTAGTCTTTCTTATGTGGGGTACGTGTGTGTTTGCACATCTCTGATACGGCAAGTAGCCGTGATTTTGCAAAGGGCCCCCTTAGCTCAGTGTTTTCTGCAGACTAGACATGCTGTTTAAAGAGAAAGTTTCCACAGTATATATAGATCAAAGCATGATTTGTAGTATTTTAAAAATCCGAAAGTGTAAGAAGGAGGAGAACAAAGGTTACTTACGGCTACCGGTACATCCCTCCTCATCCTCACACGATGGTAATCCTTCATTTCGGATAGCGTTACTAATTCTGTTGTTATTCTAAAAGCAGTACACACTCAGAGGATAAATAATTAGGAAAAAATAAAGACATTTTAATTGCCTGTGATTTTCTGTCTTAGGAATAACCACTTGGGAGTGCTCTCTTTTGATCTTTTCTCTCTGTATAGTTTTTTTTTTTTTTTTTTTAATAGCTTTTCAGATCCCATGGTAATGGAAATACAGATGTGTTTATACTGGAAGCTTCTTTTTATTATAAGTATTCAGGCAGCACAGAGGCCCCATGTCTTTCTGTTCTGGTATCTCAGTGGGGTTCACAGATTAAAGAAAACAAGAAAGCAAGTCTTTTTAAAAAATGAATTGTTAGACTTCATCCCAGCATCCAGGAAGGTTTGGATATTGCTTTTCTGAGTTAGAAGTCTCTGCATTCTTGGATGCTTCCCTAGGAAAGACCCTAAAACCAAACCAAGCCTGTTGCCATGGAGTCAATTTCGGCTCATAGTGACCCTGTAGGACAGAGTAGAACTGCCCCATAGGGCTTCCAAGGCTGTAATCTTTACGGAAGCAGACTGCCACACCTTTCTCCCGTGGAGCAGCTGGTGGGTTTGAACTGCCAATCTTTCGGTTAGCAGCCAAGCACTTTAACCACTGCACCACTAGGGCACCTTCTAGGAAAGACAAACGCCAATAAATGCAAACGTCGATAGCCTGGAATCCAAAGAGGAAAGTGATTTTTTTTCCCCTAAAGAGACATTCCCTTCCCCCAAAAAGGCACACAAGGGCCAGGTCTAATTGTCTCGTTCATCATCCCGTGTTCCTGTAACCCATAAGGATGCAAGACAAGTGGCCTAGCAGGTAAACCCCAAAAAGTCTTTGGTTACGTTTCTCTTAGGTTAGGCCAGCCTTAAAAACCCTCGCCTCTCGTCTCCTAGGATGGAGCAGTGACTGCCGATGGAGAAGCGAAGAGAGTTTATACTATTCATTTCGCCGGCAGAGGGACTTCTCTGAGAAGTTGTTGCTGTTAGATGCCGTCGAGTCGCTTCCGACTCACAGCAACCCCGAGTACAAGAGAACGAAACCCTGCCCAGTCCTGCACCCTCCACATCGCTGCTGACTTTAAACCACGCAGTATCCCCTTGTTCTGTTCAAATGATTGCCTCTTGGTCTGTGTCCAGGTTCCTCATGAACACAGTTAAGTGTCCTGGAATTCCCATTCTTTGCAGTGTTATCCATCATTTGTTATGACCCACACAGTTGAATGCCTCTGTGTAGTCAGTAAAACACAGGTACACGTCTTTCTGGTGTTCTCTGCTTTCAGCCAGGCTCCATCTGACATCAGCAATGACATCCCTGAGAAGTGGACAGATGTGGAATTGGCTTGGGCCTGTCGACGGTTAGGCCCCTAACCTGGATGCTGTCCGAGGACAGTCCCTGGTGTCTCAGAGCCTTTGTAGACCCTTGGTGAGCTGGAGCCTCCTGAGGACTGTGTGGCTGAGTTGTGGTCAGGCTAACTGCGCAGGGCACTGTGTTTCTTTCCAAAAGGTCAGCCAGTGGTGTGAGGCGGGAATCTACCTCTTGGCTTCCCAAGCCGTGGACAAGTGCCAGTCACGAGAAGGGGTTGACAGTGCCTTGAACGACATCGAGACATTCCTGGGCACAGCCGAGGAGTACCAGTTGCCCAGTCCCAAGGAGTTTTACAACCAGTTTGAGTTGATACTCACCCTTGACATAAAGGTATTGTTCTGGGTTATTTTGATCTGGTGGTTGGGAAAGGGATATGTGAGGGACTTTGCCTGTTACTTAAGAAAGTTCAGGTAGAAAATAAAAAAAATTAAAAAAAAAGCAAGAGTGAAAGAAAGGAAGAAAGAAAGAACAGGTAGGGCCCTCTGAGCAGGCTGACCAGTTCTTAAACCCTTGGGTGGGTGTTAGACGCCTGGCCGGTGCTTCCTGGCAAACGTACCCTTCATGTTGTTGTTATTCTTGTTGTCAGGTGTTGTCCAGTCAGTTCCAACTCACAGCGACCCCGTGTACAACAGAGCAAAACACTGCCTGGTCCTGCACCATCCTCACAATTGTTCCCATGTTTGAGCCCATTGTTGCAGCCACTGTGCCAGTCCATCTCGTTGAGGGTCTTCCTCTTTTTTGCTGACCCTGTACTTTACCAGGCATGATGTCCTTCTCCAGGGACTGGTCCTTCCTGATCACATGTCCAAAGTATGTGAGACGAGGTCTTGCCATCCTTGCTTCTAAGGAACATTCTGGCTGTACTTCTTCCAAGACAGATTTGTTTGTTCTTCTGCCAGTCCATGGTATTTTCAGTATTCTTTGCAGACATCATAATTCAAATGCAGCCATTCTTCCTCAGTCTTCCTTATCCATTGTCCAGCTTCCGTATGCTTATGAAGCGATTGGAAATACCATGGCTTGGGTCAGGCACATCTTAGTCCTCAAGTGACGTCTTTGCTTTTTAACACTTTAAAGAGTCTTTTGCAGCAAATTTTCCCAGTACAATACCCTTCATAGTCTGGCTCAAATGTCACCTTTAGTCATTCGCTTCTCAACAAACATGGGCATCTCTGATGTATCATGTACTGAGTTGTGTGCCGAGGATACAAAAATCAGTAGAAATAGACATGGTTCCATGCCTCACGGAAGTTACAGCTTAGTGGGGGAGGCTGGCGTTAATAAAACCATCCCACGAAACTCGGGCTACAAGCTGAGATAAGTGCTCTGAACAAAGACCTCAGGGTCTTATCCATCATGTGACAGGAGTCTGGTCTGGACTGGGGGTTGGGGAAGACCCCTGTGGAGGTGCTGGGTGACCCAAGGCCTGGAGAACGAATGGAGCTAACCAGGTGGAGAGGAGATTGGGGAGCCTTCCAGGCGGAAGGAACAGTGTGGGTAAAGGCTGCAGAGCTGGAGGGAGCCTGGCACAAGGGAGGAGCTGAAAGTTCAGGGTGGCTGGAATGCAGAGAGCAAGAGAAGAGGGTTTGGAGTGAGGTTAAAAAGAGACAGGTGAAGTGAGACTTTGTGGGTCCCATTACGGAGTTCAGTCTTTATTCCAAGAGCCATGGGAGGCCACTGAAGGATTTCAGTATGGGGGTAACTTGACCGGATTTGCCTTTTGAGAAGCGCACTCTCCCACGTGGCAGCGGGCTTGTGGGTAGTGCACCTTGCTCTTAGGTCCCCCTCACCTTGGGTGGACCACTGTTTCAGGAGCTTCTTGGCCTCTTTTGAGTCATGGACCTGTCTTAGTTCCCTAGGGCCACCATAACAAACTACCACAAAGTGTCCTGGAGTTCAGGAGGCTAGAAGTCCAAAGTCAGGGCATTGGCTGGACTTTGCTCTCTCTTTGCCAGCCCTAGGGGAAGATTCTTGCTGTCTCTTTCAGCTTCTGGTAGCCCCTAGCATTTCCTCGCATTCCTTGGCTTGTAGACTGATCCTCACATGGAGTCTTCCCCCTCCGCGTGACCCTGTGTTCATGTCTCTTCTCCCTTTTTATGAGACATCATTCAGAAGAGGTTAGAACTAGGGCCCACTACTCCGGTAAGACTTAACTGATAATACAGTAAAACCTGTGAAAGCCAGAACCTGTATAAGGCAGAAACCTGTCAGAGGAGGAAAACTCAAATGTTTTCCACTAAAACAAGCACTAGAAAAGTAGTAAGACTGCACCCTGTCAAAGGCAGAAAACCTGCAAGACCTGGAAACACAAAGCAGTTCCGTCGCTCTGTGGCTTGCACTTGTTTCACTGTATCTTCAAAGGAAGACCCTGTTTTTCCCAACAAGGTCACGTTCACAGGTCCAGGGTTTAGGACCTCAGCATATTTTGGGGGACACAATTCAATCCATAGCTCCACCTTCTGCCCCCCCAGATTAATGTCTTTCCCACGTGCAAAGCACGTTCCCACCCCAGCACCCCCCAAAGTCTTAACGCAATTGCAGCGTCTACTCTACACCCAGACCTCATCTTCTGGGCCATCTAGATCAAGTGTGGGCGAGATTCTGGGCGTGGTCCATCCCGGGGCAAAATTCCTCTCCTCTGGTGAACCTCTGAAACCTAGGATGCAGGTTTTCTGCTTCCAGAGCACAATGGTGGAACGCAGGTAAGGAAGACAGTCCCATTCCAAAAGGGAGAGATGGGAGAGGAAGAAGGAATCATGGGTACCAAGCAAGTCCAACACCCAGCAGGGCAAATCTCATTAGATTTCAAGGTTTGAAAATAATCATCTGTTTGCCAGGCCCATCAGGGTGGCAGTCCCAGCCTCTGAATTCCAGACAGTGGCCCCTGGGCCCTGGATGTTGGCCCTGCCCCCACTGGCCATGGATGTTGTCCCCACCCCCACTGGCCCTGGATGTTGGCCCCGCCCCCACTGGCCCTGGATGTTGGCCCCGCCCCCACTGGCCCTGGATGTTGGCCCTGCTTTGCCACCCCACAGCAGTTTGACAGCCAGTCAGTCAGGTTCCTTAATCGTCCTGCAGCAGTTAACACCCAAATCTCAGTTTGCTCAACCATGAGCTCATCGCCGCTCCCAGAAGGACAGAGCGGTAGTTGCCGACCACCACCAGGTCTCATCCCCCCCTCCCCAGGAGTACAAACTGGCGTTGCCTCCATGCTAACACGAGAACGTTTGCTTTCTTCGGGGGCTTTGACTCATTAACTCTGTTGTCAGAATCTCTAGTCCACTGCAAAAGTAGGCTTCCTGATACTGTAGAGCACCATCTCTGAAAAGACCCATTGCACACAGACCCTGAGCTTAGTCTAGACTAGGGGTCAGCAAACTACAGCCCATGGGCCTAATTCACTTGCCACCTGCTTTCGTAAACAAAATTTTACTGGAACAGCCTCATTCATTCATTTATGTATTCTGTGTGGCTACTTTTGTGTATAACAGCAGATTCCAGTAGTTGCAACAGAGACCATATGGCCCAGCAGAAAAACAAAACCCAGACCCCTTGCTGCCAAGTCCATTCCAACTCACAGTGACCCTATAGCAACCCTGTGGGACAGAGTAGAACTGCCCAATAGGGTTTCCAAGGAGCAGCTGGTGGATTCAAACTGCCAACCTTTTGGTTAGCAACCAATCTTTTAACCACTGTGCAACCAGGGCTCCATATGGCCCACAAAACCTAAAATATTTACCACTTGTCCTTCTGCAGAAAAAGTTGGTCAACCCCTGGTCTAGACCAGCACTGTCTGACAGAAATATGATGCAAGCCACATATGTTATTAAAGATTTTCCAGTAGCCACATTTAAAAAAGAAACAAGTGGAATCAATATTTATAATATTTAACCTAGCATGAAAATACTGTTTCAACATCTAATCAATATAAAAGAATATTGAGATATTTTACAGTCCTTTTTTTCATAAGAAGTCTTTGAAATCCAGTGTGTATTTTATACTTACAGCTCATCTCAATTCAGACTAGCTGCATTTCAAGTCCTCAATAGCCACATGTGGCTTGTGGTTACTGTCTTGGACAATGGAGATCTAAACTGTGAGAGCTTCCAGAGAGTGAGACCGACCCCAGATCTCGGTCCACAGGTCAGCTGTCAGTGTCCTGAGCCTGTAAGTGACAAGCTGTTTCACCACAGGCGCTCCAGCGGACGGCCTAGCAAAAAAAAGACAAAATTCACACTTTCTCTGGGTGTGTTCTGAACCTGCACTCGTGGTACTGGCACCTCACACAGGTTGTGAGGGCTCAGAACTCTTTTTCTGGGCCCCTTCTTTGGTGGTTAAAGTCATCCAGCAGCTGGATGTGAGAAAGGGCTACCCACTTTCCCCTGACTCGCCTTGGCAAGAGGGATATCATGCTGGGAGGAAGCCTGGAAGACATGCATTCTGCTGAATTCAGTCTTGGTGTAACTCAAGGAATTTCAGGCCTTGTTTTATTCTTCTTGTTGTAGAACATGTATATCAGGTTAAGGGAACGCCTGTGAGTTTCATCTTTCTCCATGTATTTCTTCGGTTTATTGCTTTCCTAACTAGAGCGAGGAGGGGTCACACAGAATAAAGTTTCAATGACTGTCTTTTTTATTGCACGTCCTCTGTGGTTCCCCTGATCCTGCCATCTCTTTCCTCAGGGTGCGTCTTTTGTTCTGAAGTCCTCCTGTTTTGTACGTGGCCCAATGCCCTTCACCAATGGCCTGCGGCATCCTTTGCTACCATTCGTGGACATGGCTTAGTGCCCATTTGCGCACTCAGCCGCTATTTCCTGAGCGCGGCTCTGTGCCGGGCAGTGTTCCAGGCCTTGGAGACACGGCAGCGAGAAGGATACAGTCCTTGCCTCGTTGCCCTCAAGTGTCAAGTGGGAGATGCAGGGTCTTAAAAGCACAATTCTGGAGCAAAGCAATCCATGTAGTGATTTTGTTATGGATTGAATTGTGTCTCCCCAAAATACGTGTTGGAATTCTAACCCCTGTACCTCTGGATGTAATCTCATTTGAGAACAGGGTTTTATTTGTTGTTAATGAGGCCATAGAAGCATAGAGTGGGTCCAAACCTAATCACCTCTAAGTTATAAAAAGAGCAGATGAGACCAAGAGACAAGCACACACTGAGGAAGCCAGGTGCCACGTGAGGGTCTCCAAGAACCAAAGAGGACCTGCGGCTACCGACCAGGAAGGAACTGACGTGGCTGAGACCCTGATTCAGACTTTTAGCCTCCAGAACTGTGAGAAAATAAACCTCTGTTCTTTAAAGCCACCCACTGGTGGTGTTTCTGTTACAACAGCTCTAGGCAGCTGAGGCAGATTTGCATATGGATGGCCGCCTAGAGTAGGGTCATCTGAGGGAGGCAGGGATGGGGCAGGGAGAGCTGGAGGAAGCTCTTTGGGCTCAGTGCAGACACCTGCTCACGGTTTGCTTTGTTCCTGCAGGCCAAGGCCCAGAAAGTTCTGCAGAAGCTGGATGATGTGCAGCAGATATTTGACAAAAGGCAAGTGAGCCTGAAGAAACTGGCAGCTAAACAGACTCGCCCAGTACAACCTGTGGCCCCCCATCCTGAGTCCTCCCCAAAATGGGTGTCACCAAAAACCAGCCAAGTCTCTGCCTTGGGTAGGTAGTTTGGGGAAGGAAGTTACGTGACTTCCATGTTTCATCAGCACCCGTGAGGGCTGAGATGGTGGTTGTGGAAGATGCAAAATGGTCATTGTTTTGACAGATATTGTTTAAAGTAAATGACGGATGTAGCCTAGTGCAAGCATTGAGGACTTACAAACCTTCGTAAAATCGAGTGCCTGAAGTCAAGGAGAAGCTCGTAGTATAGTGGAGGAACAATACAAACACACAAATAACACTAGCATAAAGTAGATTCCAGCAAGGGGCTTGAGAAGGCCCGAGAGATGCTCCTAACAGTGGAGTGGTAAAGTTGGTTCTTTGAAAAGTTTGTAAGTCCTTACACCTGTGCCACATAGTCTTGATTTCTATAGTTTATTAGTAAACTTTGAGATCAGGTAGTGTAAGTCTTCCGATTTCGTTCTTTTTCAAGATTGTTTTAGCTGTTTTAGGTCCTTTTCGTTTCAATATAAGTTTTAGAATCACCTTGTCAGTTTCTGCTAGGATTATGATTGGGGTTGCACTGTATATGTAGATCAATTTGGGAAGAACAATACTGATTCTTCAACTCATAAATGTGCTGTAACTCTCCATTTACTTAAGTCTGCCTTAATTTCTCTTGGCAGTGTAATAGTTCTGAGTATAAATGTCTTAGGCATTTAATGTTTTTTAGCCCTATAATAAATGGAATTTATAATATATAACTAATAATAAGAACATGTATAGAAATACAATCATGTCGTCTGTGAGTAGGGGCAGTTTCACTTCTTCCTTTTTAATCTTTGCACCTTTGCCTTATTTTAATGGCTGAGCTCTGCAGTACAGTGTTGAGTAAAAGTGTTGAGAGCAGACATCCTGTCTTTCCCCAGTCTTAGGGGAAAGAGTTCATGTTTCTCCTTTAAGTATGAAGTTAGCTCTAAGTGTTTCATAGATGCCTTTTATCTGCTTGAGGAAGTTCCCTTTTAGTCCTGGTATGACGTGAGTTTTTACCATGAATGATTATTGAAATCTTTTGGATGTTTTTTTGTGTGTGTGCATATATTGAGATGGTCATTTGATTTTTCTCCTTTATTTATTAATATGGTGGATTACAGTGATTGATTTTCAAATGTTGAAACTAACATTCCTGGGGTAAAATGCATTTGGACATGATGTATGTGTCATTTGTTGCTTTACGTGTTTTGAAGCTCTGTTATTAATCACATACATGTTTATAATTGTTATGTCCTCTGGACGTATTAACACTTTTATAATTATGAAATCTCCTTCCTTCCTTCCTTCCTTATCTCTACTAATACTCCTTGTCTTGAAGTCTGTCTGTCTGTTGGTCTGATATTAACATAGGCACTCCAACTTTCTTATGTTAGTGTTTGCATGTCTGTCTTTTTTCCATTTTTTTATTTCTATCTTCACTTTTACAATGCATTTCTTGTAGATAGCGTTTTGTTGGATCTTGCCTTTTTAGTACATTCTATTAATCTCTTCATTTTAATTGGAGGTTTTAATCCATTTACATATAATGTAATTTTTTATAGTTGCGTTTAGATCTACTGTTTCGTTATTGTTGTCTACTTGTCTAGTAACTTTTTATTCCCCTGTTCCTCCTTTCCTGCCTTCTTTTGGGTTAGCGAATATCTTTTAGTATTCTCTTTTAATTTTTCTATTATCTTTTTAACATATCCCTTTGCGTTGTTTTTCCCCACTCCCACCCCCAGTGGTTTTTTCCTAGGGATTATTATACGCATCCTTAAATTATCACAATTCACTTAGAGTTATATTGTACCACTTAATGTAAAATATAGGAAACTTGCAGTGGTATAGTTCCATATGCCCCCTACTTATCCTCTGTGCTATTTTTTATCATAAATATTACATCTAAATATGTTAAATCCCCGAATTTTGTGTTATAATTTTTTTCTTTAACCCATCATAGATCTTTTAAAGAAATTAATAGGAAGAAAAATATCTATATAGTCTTTTATATTTACCTTCATATTTACCATTTCCAGTGTTCTTTATTCCTTCTTGTAGATCTGAATTACCACGCTGTGTCATTTCTCTTCAGCTTGAAGAATATCCTTTCACAATTGTTGTAGTACAGGTCTGTTGGCGACAAATTCTTTCAGTTTTTGTTTATCTGAAAATTACGGGGTCTTACAGTAATTCTCCATTTAGTATAATTTACAATCCTCCATCATGCATCACATATCCCACTTTTTAGAAGTAGGCCTTGATAACAGTTTAGTGCATTTCCTTCCTTAGTTTTTCTGTGCACACACACGTATATACACATGCACACTCAGACACATTTACACACACACTACAGACACAAATACAAGCACACCACAGACACAAATACAGGCACACCGCAGACACAAATACAAGCACTCACACACCACACACACACACACACACACACACACACTCGCACACACACCACAGATGCACACGCACACGGAAGCATCCTTCTTGGGGCCACTGTTAGAAACAAGGCTTGGTTCTCCTAATCCCTCATCTAGGGCTCTTTCCCAAGGCTAATATTCTGTTTACTTCTATGACATGGCCTCTCTCATTGTTCTGAGGCACGTGTATTTGTTACAAGTTTATAAAACAGAAACAATACATTGTTTCTCAGCTTTTCAGACACAAGATTTCATAACAGATAATGACCCTCTCCAGGGTAAGCAAGTCTTTATCATGTCTGAACAGGTATCGCTGACCTTGGTCAGGTGACTAACTCTTTTCACAGAATAGTCCTGTGCTTTTGTTTTGGAGAGTGACCATGGTGTGGACTCAGGTCACTAACAGGCTTTTCAGACACACTTGTCTTATTCCTTAGTAACTGGGTCTGGGCCAAGATAAACTATGGTGTTTCACTGTATATAGAATGTAGGCAGAGGTGCTTGTTGATGGGAGCAGAGTCTCAACTCTGACTCTTGTGTGCTGGGTGCCTTGGGCACAATATGCAACCTCTCTAAAGTCCATAAGGAATGTGAGCAAGCTCTTTTAATGCCAGGTGGCCATCCAAACCAAACCCATTGCCGTCGAGTCGATTCCAACTCATAGCGACGCTATAGGACAGAGTAGAACTGATCCATAAAGTTTCCAAGGAGCGACTAGTGGATTCGAACTGCCAACCTTTTGGTTAGTAGCCAAACTCTTAACCACTGTGCCACCAGAGCTCCATGTGGCTATAATAATAGCTACAATGTACTGGGCACTTACCATGAGCTAAAGACACTTTGTGCAAGTTAACTCATTAAAGCCTCTTAACAACCCTGCTCTGTGAGCTTTATCGTTATTCCGCATTTCACAGATGAAGAAGCTAAGGCACAGAGACTATGCTGGTAATGAGCATCTTACACTTGGAAGAGCCGGATTTGAACCCTGACAGTATGGCTTCCAAGTCCACGCCTTGAACTATTTCATTATACTTACAATGTTAAAAACAGGTGATTGAGTCTCAGTCATGGAGTCACCAACTACAGTGTATGCATTTCCAGCATCCAGTTGTTATACCTGGAATTACTCGGTTTACAGAGAGTGAGGAGCCCAAGGGATTGTCCGTGGTTATAAAGTAGCTTCAGTGGCCACATAACCTGGGACAGCAAACAGTATACTTTGCTACAGGTTTTGACATAAATGTCTATGAAAAAACCCACAGAACACTACTTCCTGATGACACATAGAATCTAAGGGTTGGAAGGAGCCTCTGGAGGCCAGATGGTCAAGCTCCATCATGTCTACCAGATATAAGAATCAAAGTGATATTTTGGTGGGATTAGATGGATGATGTTTTAGTTTTCTAGTGCTGTTGTAACAGAAATACCACAAGTGGGTGGCTTTAACAAGGAGAAATTTATTCTTTCCCAGTCTAGGAGGCTAGAAGTCCAACTTCAGGGCACCAGCACCAGGAGAAGGCTTTCTCTTTGTCAGCTCTGGGAGAAGTCCTTATCATCAATCTTCCCCTGGTCTAGGAGCTTCTCAGTGCAGGACCCTGGGTCCAAAGGACGCACTCTGCTCCCAGAGCTTCTTTGTTGGTGGCATGAAGTCCCTATCCTCTCTGCTCGATTCTCCCTTTTATATCTCAAAAGAGATTGACTCAAGATACAACCTAATCCCGTTGGCCACAGGACCTAGAAGTGCTTAAATCCTGCCTTGGGTTAATCACAGGCATCCTTTGAGTTCCCAGGGGAGGTATACACCCAAGAGTTGGCCTCAGTGACAAATAAGAACTCAAAGAACCACTTACCTATTAGCCCTCTAGCCATCACCCCCAATGCAACCCTCTGGTAAAGCTCGGTTGGAAAGCCTAATGTCCCAGTCTTACTACCAGATGGCCATGCAGCCTGAAGAAATGGAATGACATCTCCTAGGTGTCTGAGACCACCTGTGGGAAAGACAGAGGCGAGAAGGGAGATAGAGTACTGACAGAAGAGAGCAGGAACAGGACAGCCTGACTCCATCCTGACTCAGCTGATTCTATCACACAGTCATCCCGCTTGTCGGTGTGGCTCTGTCAGTCCTGGGATCCAACCATCAGCTCATCCTTCTTCTGGCTAGGGCAGGCATGACATTCCTTTCCCACTAATATAGTATGATTGTTTGTGTGTGTGTGTGTGGCACAGTGATTAAGAGCTCGGCTGCTAACCAAAAGGTCGGTGGTTCAAATCCACCAGCCACTTCTTGGAAACCCTGTGGAGCAGTTCTCCTCCATCTTGTAGGGTCGCTATGAGTTGGAATCAACTCGACAGCAGTGTGTTTGGTTTTTTGGTTGGGGGGTGTGTGTGTGTGCACCTGTGCATACGTATATGTTTATGGATATAGAGGAGTTTAAAGAAAACCGTATGGATATATACCAAGTGGTTGTATTTATATGGTAAGATTTTAGTATTTTTCAAATTTTCTGTAATGAGCACAAATTAATTACCTTTATAATAGAAAAAAACAATAAAATACGGTAGCTGTAATTGAATCTAGTCTTATAATACGAGAACAAAATCCAGTGCAATACTGTATAGTAGAGATGATAAATGCTAAAACAGCAGTGCATAAAATAATCCATGAAGTTTAGAATAGTCAAGGAAGTCTTTATGAAGAATGTGGCCTTTTAGCTGGGCCTTAAAAGGGGGAATGATGGAAATTCTGTCATTTTTACCACATTACGTTTGCTGATTTGCTGTGGTTTAATGGGTGTGCCTTTGGTCTCTTCAGCTCAGATGTCAAGTCCTTGGGGTCAAGGACTCTGTTTCTCTCCCATGTCTCTCCTTTGCCTCCTCTTCACCACCATCCAGGAAATCACCACAGCAGTTCAGTTATGCCTTGCTAATGGACTGCATCAACATGGTCTGGCTACTTGTCCAAGTCAGGCTAAGTGCTCTGAGTTACTTACAAGTCGAATAAACCGATTAATGACAGGTTCTCTCCATCCCTCTAGCTCCTCCTCGGAAAGTATCCAAGGAATCTCGTATGGAGACAGATTTGAACTTCCTGGGAAGGGAAGGTGATGAGACTAAATTTGAAGCTAAGGTAAGATCATCTTTCTTTGACTGATAGAAATTTTTGACCTGGAGAATATTGCTGCCATAATTATCAATAAATCAATAAATATTGTTCCCCTACTATGTATCTGGAAACCCTGGTGGCACGGTGGTTAAGAGCTTAGGCTGCTCACCAAAAGGTCGGCAGTTGGAATGCACCAGCTGCTCCTTGGAAACCCTGTGGGGCAGTTCTCCTCTGTCCTGTAGGGTCACTATGAGTTGGAGTCGACTCGACAGCAACAGGTTTGGTTTTTGGTGTTGTTTTTTTTATTATGTATCCATCGTCACCTCTGGAAGTCGGGCTCACAAAGGCACACAGCAGAGACTAGTGCTCCCAAGAGCTGAGAGGTTTGTTGGATATTTTTTCTTTCCTTAATTGCAACTTGATGCCAAAAAAAAAAAAAAACTTGTTTGTCATATTTGTGCTTGTTGTTAGATACTGTTTTGTTGAGAGAGATGTTGCTTTATTCTTTCCTATAACCTGACCTCATATTTAAAATTGCTATGTGGAGCCCTGGTGATGCAGTGGTTGAGAGCTCAGGCTTCTCACCAAAAGGTCAGCAGTTCGAATCCCCCAGCTGCTCCTTGGAAACCCTGTGGGGGTGGTTCTGCTCTATCCTATAGGGTTGCTATGAGTTGGAATCGACTCAACAGCAGCGGGTTTGGTTTTTGGTTTTAGTATAGTATGTGGTTCATGTATAAAAAGAGAACGACAGAATCGCATAGAGCTATGCACACATGCTTGCGCACGCACACACACGAGTGCATGTGTAGCTGGTGAGATCTGAATGAACTCTGGATCATGCCAACGTCAGCTTCTGGGCTCTGACATTGTGCTGTTGTTGTATGAAGTGTCACCACTGGGGAAGGCTAAGGAAAGACTGCAAGGGACTTCCCTGCGCATTTCTTTGCAACCTCTGTGAGCCTGTAATTATTTCAAAATAAAATTTAAAAAACAAAACAGCATGAGCTTTGGAACCAGGAGGGCCTGGGTTTAAGCACCCTAACTTCTCGAAACCTCAGTTTCTCGTCTGTCAAAGGAGAATAACAACAGCTACCACTTGGAACTGTTGAGAGCTTCAGATGAGATCTCGTGCGTCAGAATGCTTTGAAGATCGCCAAGCACTGTGCAATTGTGAAGTAGCGTTATCTTCAAAAGCCCAAGGAGTCGTGACTGTATGTTGCTCTGTGGTGATTCTAGAAGTTGTTCCCTTTCCCTTGCCTCACTGAAAATTAAATTAAATCTGGCTGCCTGAAGGGTTCTAAACAGAGGCCAGAGATCATGGGTTCCAGTGAACTCCAGCAAGAGGCAAGAGGTCAGATGCATCCTCAGTCCCTGACGTATCCAGATAAAGGAACCCACAGGGATTTCACTGGCCGTTAAGGAATTAGGCAAAAAGCAAGCCTTAGACTTTTCTTCCTGGACGTAGAAACAGTGTGGGCAGAGTTCCCAGCAGACTTTTCTCAGAGAAAGCCACATTCTTCTATCAGATTTAGTCACCCTTCTGTATCCTGGGCAGATGAGGACGTAAACATTGCAGTTCTTCACGGTTGGTGGAGTTGCGCCAGGCATCTTTTAGAGTTAGGGAGCAGTTTGCAAATTAATACAGCTGTAAGTCAGCCATTTTAAAAAGTAGATAGCAATTTTTTGAAATGGGTGAACATAATTAAACTTTACCTGACTTAACATCCATGAAGTCTGTAGCATTATTAAGTGGTATAAAAAGCGTTTAACTGTGATAATCTTCAACTCCGAACATCAGCCTAGCCTTTTTTGTACCTGTGCTTCTGACGATACATTGTTTCTGAAGTGAGGGCTGTGTCAGGTCACTGGGTCCCAGAGTCTGCCCTTAAAGCCACAGGTCTTTGTCACTTACTCATGCTGTGATTTGAACTCACTTCATATTCCTGTGACTTAATCTACCCATCTTTGAACAGCATATTTATATCCTGCACACTTTATATAGATGCCACAGGAGTTTTAAGTATGTGGAGGTTCTTATATAAAATAATCCAAATTAAAGTGAATAATTTCAATAATTATGAACAATAAATATCAGTGCTACCATTTTATTTGTTGTAAAAAAAAAAAAGGAAATATAGTCAGTAAATATGAAGCATCTTTCCTCAGGGAAAACCTTAAAGTATTTGAAAACAAAGGTTTCTGTAAGCTACCTGTGACGATGTACTCCTATTTTACATATACGTAAAAGCTGGTGGTACAGAAGGAGGTGAGGATAGGCTGGAAAGTGTTGAACAGAATCCAAGAAGCTCTGACCACCGGACATATGGTTCCCTCCCTCTTCTGTGGTGTTTATTTAATCCGGACTCAAAGTCCATCCTGTAAGATGTTAACTCCTCTCTGTGCTTGGCAGACCACCAGCGGTCTGGGTGCCGTTAAAGCGGGCACACGTGCTGCTAAATCATCCTCTGAGCTTTGGTTGGTTTTGCCTGGATGGCTTTGGCAGTGGACTTCTGGAAGGGCTTTTCCCGCAAGCCCTCGTGAGTTCATGGTCAAGGTGGTGGAGGGAGCAGGGCGGGAACCCGCTCTGGGAGGAGCTGAGAGCAGAATCCATGAAGTCATGAGCAATGCGAACAAGAAGAAAGTGGATTTAGGCACTGACTCCCAGAATCCCAGACTTAGAAATCCATTAAACCAAACTAAAGAACCGACCCTCTAGGACAGACGGTTTCCGAGGAGCAGCTGGTGGATTCCAACTGCAGACCTTTTGGTTAGCAGCTGAGCTCTTAACCACTGTGCCACCAGGGTTCCAGAAGTCCAATTCGGACCAACAAATGCAATTCCGGTTTCATACAGTCCATAGTCTGCTGGGGAAGCCATTATTCCAAAATATGCAGGAAAACCAGTAAGAAAAAGTTAGTTTAGGGAGAGAGGGTTTTATTCATGTCTGTACCACCCAGGGGCTATTAAAAGGGGACAGGGAGGTTTACTAACATCAAGAACAGTCACAGCTGCTTTTGTTTTGGGACCATTATCAAGGAGTGACCAGGATGGATAGAACATTATCCGTCTCGGGGTGGCAAGCCTGACATCCTTTTAGCTGGAAGCCTAGAACTCAGAGATGAGATGAAACCACAGCCAGTCTAGGAGAGCAAATCATTACGTTGGAACAAGGGCCACCCCCTTGCCCTCAAGAGTACATGTGCGCACCGGGGGGAAAACACTGGGAACCGAGACCATCCGTAACTGCTGTTAACTCACCAAGTCACCACCGGCAACTGAAATCATGATTTTGTCATCAGAGAAATCATTCCCCAGAACGGCACTCCCTCTTCTCTGGCAGGATGATGCTTGCTGTTCCAGTTCTTGAAAACTTGACGAGCTGAACTTGCTAAGGCAGCAGAGTCTCTCCCCCGGGCCGCTGGGCCACGGTGCTGCCATGCGCGTGGCTCGCTGACGTAGTCTGGGAAAGTGCCACGGAGGAGATCCGCTGTGACTGTTGGCAGCAGTGACCTGTCTGCAAGCATGACTCATAGGAGCTGCCTCCCAGGCTGCTCACACACAGCCTTTCCAGAAGCTGGGAAGAAGCCAAAGGCTGATGAGAACTCCTTTTTCCTGAGTGTGCATCCACAAAATAAAGGAAGAGCCACTAGCCGTGACAGCTGGTGGACAGCCTTCTGAGTGCCTACCGAAGTCGTTTAAAGTAGCCGAGGCCTTTTCAGGCTTCCGAGCAAGCAGGCTCCCTAATGGAAACAGCAAGGGTAGAAGAGAAAGAGGTGAGGAAGGGGTTGCACCTGCTGACGGCCGGCCAGACCTCGTGCCGGGTGCAGTGTGCACATGGTCTCATCTCGGGTCCTTGAGGCCGGGTGAGGAAGACCACGTTTCCTGGTTTTATATGTGCCTCTGTTGAGACGCTGAAAAGTTAAGTAACTGCCCCAGGGTCACACTAGGAAATAGTGGAGCTGGGACTGGAAACTAGCTATTTATATAATCTAGTTGACCTTTCTACCTAACTTATCTAATTACTTATTTAATCTACCTAACTAGCAAAGGCATTTGACTGTGTGGATCATAACAAATTATGGATAACATTGCGAAGAATGGGAATTCCAGAACACTTAATTGTGCTCATGAGGAACCTGTACATAGACCAAGAGGCAGCTGTTTGAACAGAACAAGGGGTTACTGTGTGTTTTAAATCAGGAAAGGTGTGCGTCAGGGTTGCCTCCTTTCACCATACTTATTCAGTCTGTATGCTGAGCAGATAACACAAGAAGCTGAACTATATGGAGAAGAGCAGGGCATCAGGATTGGAGGAAGACTGATAAACGACCTTCGATATGCAGATGACACAACCTTGCTTGCTGAAAGTGAAGAGGAATTGAAGCGCTTACTGATGAAGATCAAAGACTCCAGCCTTCAGTATGGATTACACCTTAACATAAAGAAAACAAAAATTCTCACAACTGGACCAATAAGCAGCATCATGATAAACAGAGAAAACATGAAAGTTGTAAAGGATTTCATTTTACTTGACTCCACAATCCACGTCCATGGAAACAGCAGCCAAGAAATAAAACGACCCATTGCATTGGGCAAATCTGCCACAAAAGACCTCTTTAACGTGTTAAAAAGCAAAGATGTCACTTTAAGGACTAAGGTCTGCCTGACCCAAGCCATGGTGTTTTCAGTCACCTCCTTTGCATGCGAAAGCTGGACAAAGAATAAAGAAGACTGAAGGAGAATTGATGCCTTAGAATTATGGTGTTGGTGAAGAATACTGAATACACCAGGGACTGCCAGAAGAACAACAAACCTGTCTTGGAAGAAGTACAGCCAGAATGCTCCTTAGAAGCGAGGATGGCGAGACTTCGTCTTACGTACTTTGGACATGTTGTCAGGAGGGACCAGTCCCTGGAGAAGGACGTCATGCTTGATGAGGTAGCGGGTCAGCGAAAAAGTGGAAGACCCTCAACGAGATGGATTGGCACAGTGGCTGCAACAATGGGCTCGAGCATAACAACGAT